TTTTGTAGTATTCATAAATTATATCTTGAATCTCTTTGGGATCATGGTGATATTCCTTTGTTCCTGACTGGAGCTTATTAGAGATTCTCTTTTCTGCTTTCGTTAGCTTAGCAGTGGTGTGTCAATTTTGTTTATTTTTTCAAAGAACCAAGTTTTGTTTTATTAATCTCCTGTATGCTTCCCTGTTCAATTGTTTAGTTCTGATTGATCTTGTTGATTTCACTTCTTCTACTGGGTTTGGGCTGGTCTGTTTTCTTTCACGCTCTTTGAGTCGTTTTCATTAGATTGTCTATTTGTGATCTTTTTGACTTTTGGTTATAGGCATTTACGGAGATAAACTTTCCTCAGAAGTGCTTAGCTGTGTCCAGAGGAGTTGATAACTTCTCTCTCCATTGTCATTTTCTTCATAGAATTTTTCATTTCCATCTTGATTTCTTCATTTATGAAGTAACTTAGTAGGAAGTGTTTAAATTCCACGTTTTGTGTAGAAATGTGAGTTCTGGTTAGTTGATTTCTACTTTTATCCACTGTGATCTGAGAGATACATGGTATGATTTCTATTTTTAATTTCTTGAGGTTTACTTTGTGTCCTAGGAATGGTCATCTTAGAGAATGTCCCGTGAGCTGATGAGAAGAACGTATATTCAGTGGATTTTTGGTAGAATGTCTGTAAATGTCAGTCGACCCAATTGTTCTAGAGTTTTGTTTAAGTCCATTATTTCTTTATTAATTTTCTGTTTGGAGGATCTGTCTTGTTGCGCTCAGTGGGTGTTGAAATCTCCAGTGATTATTGAGTTATTATAATCCATTTGCTTAGCTCCAGTAAGGTTTGCTTTTATGAATCTGGGTGCACCTAAGTTGGGTGTATATATTTAATTGTTATCTCTTCTTGTTTAACTGTGCCTTCACCATTATATAATGACCCTCTTTGTCTTCACTACTTTGTTGGTTTAAAAACTACATTGTCTGAAACTAGAGCTGCCACCTGCTTCTTTTGCTTCCACTTGCTGGAATACTGATCTCCACCCTTTTATTTAGTCTATATGCATCCTTGCAGGTTAGATGTGTTTCCTGATGACAGTATAGACTTGGCCTGTATTTTCTTATCCATTCAGCCAGACTATGTCTCTTGAGTAGAGTTTAAGCCATTCACATTTATTGAGAGAACTGATAGGTAAGGTAGATTACTGTTCATTCTGTTGGGTTGGATGTTGTTGCTTTGATTTCTCTCCTGAGCCACTGTAATATCTGGCCTTTAATCTTTGGGTTTTGGTTGTTTTTATATTCATGAGTTTTTATTATGGTGTTCTGTGCATAACACTGTTTTGAGTACTTCTTGTAGGGCTGGTCTTGTCTTGGTGAATTCTCTGAGACTTTGCTTATCTGAGAATGTCTTTATTTCTCCTTCATATATGAAGCTTAGTTTTGCAGGAATAAGATTCTAGGCTGGGCATTTTTTGTTTCAGAAGAGTAAGAATGGGGCCCCAGTCTCTCCTTGCTTGTAAAGTCTCATTAGAGAAGTCTGGTGTTATTCGAATTGCTTTCTCTTGTATGTTACTTGCTTCTTTTGTCTTATAGCTCTTAGAAGGGCCTCTTTAGTTGATATTTTGGTCAGTCTGTGACTGCATGTTGTGACGTCTTCCTGTTTGCATTGAATCTCCCAGGGGTCCTCTCAGCTTCTTGAACTTGTATATCAAGATTTGTAGCAAGGCCCGGGAAATTTTCTTCTATTATATCTTCAAATAGCTTGTCCAACCCTTGAGGTGTTCTTCTTCCCCTTCTGGTAACACTATGACCCTCACAATAGGTTTCTTCACAAAATCCTACATCTCTTGTAGGCTTTGCTCTTTTCTCTTGTTTCTCTGCTCTATCTCTGTGAATGATTTCTTTAGTTGGAGGGTGTTATCTTCAAGCTCTGAGATTCTTTCTTCTGTTTGATCTACCCTGTTCTTGAGACTTTCCACTGTATTTTGTAGTTCCCTGAATTGATTCTTCATTTCCAGGAGTTCGGTTAAACTTTTCTTCATTGTGTCTATTTCTTTAGTGAACTTTGTTTCCAGGTCCTGCAGGCTTTTTGTGGTTTCTTTGTGTTGGTTAATGAGTTGTTCTTGAGGGTTGTTGAATTTTCTGATGATCCACATTCGAAATTCCTCTTCTGCCATTTTTGTTCCCTGATTTTGGTTGGTGTCTGTTTCTAGGGGGCTGGTGCTCCGTTTGAGGGTGTGTTTTCCATTTGGTTCTTCATATTTCCGGAGTTCCTTTGCTGATTTCTTCCCATGTCGATCAGTTTTTGTTTCTTTCCTGTAGGTTTTTGTTTGTGTTTTCACATGCCTTGTTTAGTTTCTGAGCTGGTAGGTGGTATCTGTGGGTGAGATTTGACCATTCCCTGTATAATGAGTCAGTATGTGCCATGAAAAGGGTGTGCAGGATGTCCTCCCTGTCAGTAGGTGGCGCTTGCTTGGAGGAACAGGCTATGCTGTTGTTTTTGTATCCTGTAACCAGCTCTTGTTCCTTAGAGAGGCACTCTAGTGCCTCAGGTGGTCGGTGGGGCCCTGGGACTTCCAGGTGTGTCCTTTTCTCCCCTTCAGTGAGGACTGGTCTAGGAGAGAGTCTGGGCAGAGCTGGATTGGGTAAGCCTGCCCTCAGGCACCACCAATGCCATTAGCACTGGTCAAAGTTCTGTTCTCTGCTTCCAGGAAAATCTGTCAGGGAGGGGCTGGAATGGCTCTGCTCAGTCAGAGAGTCTACGTGTGTGGTGGGGCTGTCTGAGACCCGCAGTCTGGAGCGGGTCTGGCTTCTTTCCACCATCCCCAACTCTGTGGCTACTTCTGGGCCTCTGCCCGCAGGCCAGACCACATGCCACCAGGCCTCCCCTGGCTGTGATGCCAGCCGGGAGGTTCCCTGCGCAGGAACGCCACCTGGGTTGGGTGTACGGTCTCCCTTTGGGAGGAGGGTTGCCCTCTATGACACTGATCTGCCCCTGAACGACACACACCTCAGTAGCTGTTCATGTATATCCCTCTGTGCCCTGGGCAATGCAAGACCTCAGTGCATGGGATCTGGTCTGCAGGTCTGACCTCTGGGTCCCAGAGTTCAAACTATATCCCCACCAGGGAGAGGAGTGCCAGTCCCAATTCACCCACAGGGAGCCCAAGCTGTGTCTATGTCTCTCAGCCTCAGGGTCTGCCCTGTTCTCCTGGGATCACCGTGCCAGGGGCACCTGGGAGGGCTGGCGGGTAGAGAGCTCACAGTCTCAGTTCCCCTTAGTCAGCTGTAGGGCCCCAAAAGGGAAGGTCTCGTTCCCTGTAGGTGTCTCCGGCTGGTAGCTGTATTGTCTCTCTGGGCAGCTGCCGATAAGGTTGCGGGAGGGGAGAAGGAGGCAATATGGTGCCAGCCGCGCAGCTCGGGTCTGTGCATACAGAGGTGCCCCGAGGGAGTTGGGAGCCTGGTGCCGCGTCCGCTACTGGCTTACGGCTCACTGGTGGCAGCTGTTGCTGGGCTGGTGTCCGCAGGTCTCTCCACTCGCTGGGGAGCCCACCAGCAGTCTGAGATGCAGGGGAGGGGAAACGGCATATTCACCTACCCTTCCCGCTGGTCTCCGGGCTGCTCCGGCAGTCCCAGCTTCCAGTTCTCCTCCATGACCTCTTCCTGTGGAGTCTCCCGTGGTCTCAGGTATTCCTCCTTCCGACCCTCGTCCGATGTAGGCTCATCTTCTTGTTTCTTTCTTCTAATTTTTGCTAGAATCTGTCTTTTCTGCAGAGATACTCTGTCTGGTGGTGTTTCTCGTCATCATCTTGATTCCCTCCTCAATAGGTAGATTCTTAAGCAGCCTTTTTTTCCTCAGAATTCTAAGGAATTAAGACCTGGAGGCATTTTCATCTAATTGAACAAGGAGTGAAGGAGAGATTAGTAAAAGGAGAGTTTGGTTTCTGCAGGAGATCATTGAGTATTGTGGGTAAGTGATGACACTCTAGTTGGAACTCAACAGCAGTAGTAGAAGTTTTTTTTTTTTTTTCAGAAAAAAGTTAAAGTAATGGCATTTCAGAGAAATGCAATGAGGAGCAGCAGAGGGGAGAAAGAACATATAAGGCAATGGAAAGAGCACTAGATAAGTGACTGGACGGTTTGAGTTGTGGTCTTAGCTTTGTGAAAAACTCACTATAATGACTTCAGTCAAGTACTTTCCCATTTCTAGGCCTCATTTGCCATATCTATAATATATGGGGTTGGTCTAGATAGTCTCTAAAATCCTCTTTAGTTCTCACTTTGCAGAATTATTTGATGTGTTTAAGAGGATATAAGAAAAGTGATATGTATGTGTAAGTAGATTTCAATGGGTGAGGAGTTATAGACTGGTGGGACAATGAGTCTTGTGTGTTAGGTTTGACCTAAATAGGGGACAGTTATTTATGCTCCATCATACAGGGTCTGTCCTCAGCTACCAAACTTCCTGAGTAAGTGAGTATGAATATGGATTAGGGCCAGGGATGTAGCATGATAGTGGAACAAGCATGGACCTTAGAGCCAGACAAGCCTGGATTCAAATCCTGGTTCCACCACTTGCTTAGTCACCTTTGGTAAGTCATGTCATTTTTCTCTGAGTCACTGTTTCCTCATCTGGTGTTAACAATAATAATGCCTACCTCATAAAATTGTAATGAGGATTTAAAGAGATAGTGTGGTCTTGAATCTTAGAGACTAGGGGGATGATGTGACCAAGATAGTGGATATCTGTAGTTTAAAGACGGGAGCTGAAGTCTCAAATCCACTGATGACTACTTGTGTGATCTTGGGCAACTTAATCTCTCTGATCTTTAGTTTTCTTCATCTACAAAAGAGAATATTAAAAGTCTATTTCATACAATGGGTGTGAAGATTGATAGAAATAACCTATGTAAAGCACTCAACACAGGGCCTGGCATATAATATAACACACGTTCCTTCCTCCTCCTTCATATCTCAGATTTCTAATTTATAAATTTTGAATCTCCTCGTGGTGGTGGGACTCTAATGAGATAATGTATCTGAATGACTTCTGTAAGCTGCAAATCAGATATAAAAGACTGTCATCTATTGTCATTATGCCTCAATGTAGTATCTTCCAAATTTGAAGACATTACTTAGAATCTACATTTTCCTGGCAGTCAAAAGTCTGAAACTTCTTCATTGATAGAAGATTTTCAATTATTTTGGGAGCTTCCCAGTTTCTAAATAATTTGCTACTCCTTAATTTGATACTCCACCAGCCCCATGAAGTGGATTTTCCTATTCTCCCCATTTACAAAAGAAGGAAGCTCAGCCTGAGGAAGTGACTTGCCTAAGGTCCTATAGGTAGTGGTAAAGCTTGGGCTTGAAATCAGGTCTCCTCTCTTCATTCTCTGTAGTATTGCTATAATGTGAGCCTTATGGAATGGCAGGAATTAGGATCTGGTAAACCAGTCAGTGATGAATAGATGGAGGTACTTGAATTCCCTCACTTTCCCAGTCAAGCTCTTTAGGAGTAAGAGAAAGTGGCCAATTTCAGGGCAGGGATAAATGGACTAGTGGAGAGTGGGAGGAGGAAACACTAGAAGAAGGAGGAAGGTGAGTCCTCTGGGTAGAAATCGTATTGGGTAGAATGGGACCAGCCATTATTTTCTTCCTCCAGATGGCATGCAGGCACTCTACAAAGTCACGTCTTGCTCCACGGCCCCTCCTGTGGACCTGCTCACAGGAAAAATTCGGCAGTACTTCATTGAGGCCCATGAGATTCAATGGGACTATGGTCCAATGGGGCATGATGGGAGTACTGGAAAGAGTTTGAGAGAGCCGGGCAGGTAAGAGACAGTGGACTCCCTATCCCTATTCCTAGGCCCAGTCCCAAATGCCTATTATCTCCCTCCCCAAAATCTCTCACTTCACTTGGGGGTCTGAATCATTGTCTGGCTGGGGTTACATGACACAACTGTTAGCCAAGTATGTGTGGCTCCTTAGAGGGCTTGCTCTTGGGGAGCTATAAGTAGCAAAGCTTTTTGTAGGGTTTGTCATATCCCCAGCAAAGTGTCTAAGCAGAGTTTGAGGTTGGTTGGTCCTGCTATAATTACTGGCCATGTTCAGAAAGGAAATCCCAGGTGGGACCAGTTCTTGCATTAGTTGAACTGCCTTTCCTCTAGCTTTTCTTCATTTTAGCCATTTACATTCTTGCTCCTTCCTTTCTTTTCCATAGTCTGAAGGAAGCATTTCAGCAGGTGTATTAAAAACCATTCTGAAAGAAAAAACACTCTGAGAAATGTAGGAAGAATAGAAGCAACCTGCCCTGTGGGTATTCCATGCTCATCTTTTAGAAGGAATTTCTCCAAGTTCTCCTGACTCATCCATGACCCAGATGTGGACAGGATAGAGCAGGATGTTAGTGCCCTGCTCATTTGCTAGGTCTTAATTTATACTAACTCACTGGGCAATCAGTGATACTGGGTCTTTCACAGAAGAGGCCATTAGTAAATGACTAGGAGAGGGGAAGATACTAGGGCATTCATTATGTTTATTCTTGCAGCAGGAAATAATGGAATGAATATACAGAAAACTTGGGAAAGTTTTCAACTTGGCTCTTGAGTCCCAGCACAGTTTCTAGAATCTCTGACTGGGCTTGTTAACTTAGTGGGCTTTGATTAGCGTCATTAATAGTTAAGGATGGTTAAGGACAGATGTACATTGTATAATTCTGGAGGGCAGAACTGGTACCAGTGTCTGGAAGTTTCAAGCAAGAATATTACATCATACCTTAAAGAAGAACTCCAATAATTAAAGCTATTCAACAGTAATAGAGATTGCCTTCTCTGAAAAATGTGTTCCCTGCCTTTGGAAAGGCTCAAGCACAATCTATATGTCACTTACTAGTAGTGTCACCAAAGGATATATCTTCACGGATGAGAGTTAACCAGGGTGATCTCTGAGGTGCTTCCTGACCATAAAGATCCATAACTTGATGAGACTAAGGGTGATATTGGAGTCTATTTGATAATCAATAAAATCATATGACATTTGCCTCTTTATATGCCAGTGACTCAGACAAGTTCTTCCAGAAGAGTTCCAGCCGAATTGGAGGCACTTACTGGAAAGTCCGATATGAAGCCTTCCAAGATGAGACATTCCAAGAGAAGGTGCAGCTGGAAGAAGATAAGCATCTTGGAATCCTGGGTGAGGAATCTTTAACTTATAAAATTCATTGACTAGAGACAGAGGAATGAGGAGGACTTAGAAATTGGAGGCTAGACATGGCTCAGGGGCACACCGTAGAACAGCATCTTCAAAGTGAGTTCCAAGAGATAAGTGTTTTGTGGAAAAAAGTTATGGGTCTGAATTTGTTTGAAAAACATTAGATTAAAATAGTCAAATAGTATTTTTTGCTGTAGAACTTGTGAGAACCTTGGATTTATTTTTATTCATCATGAATCTTCATTGAACCTTTTCTTTGGTGAACATCTTCCTGTACCATTGTTGGACAGTTCATACTTCTAAAATTGCTTCTCTAGGAGTATTCTTGGAAGACTATATAAGGAAGCCATACTGGCCAGGTTCTTGACACTCTGGAGCCAGGAGCAGATTGGCATGACATACAGACATGGTTGCTGTCTCACCATAGTGAGGGACATAGAGCCATACTTAAAGTTTGACCTTGGAGACAGTATCCAGAAGGTCTAAAGCACAGTATTAAAAGAGTATAGAAAAGTTAGGTGTGTTTTAGTAACATGGTGGAACCAGGAAATAAAATAGATGAGATGAGAAAAAGGATTTGGAGATGAAAGTAACATAATGGACCGTATTCTGGGGATAGGTATGTGCCAGTTGATTCTAGATCTGAAAATGGAAAATAGGCCCTACATCAGCTGGATAGAAAGATATTAGGATGAGAAAACCATCTTAGGAAAGAGGGATGGTGGTGATTATGAAGGATATATCATTGGCCAGGGTTCCATATGGGTCTCTAGTCTTTGAGCAGAGGTGAGCATTAGATATGAAAATTGAGTAGGAAACCAAGTTAGAAACTCTGACCTAGTGTTAGAACCAGCATAAATGCTCAGTCTTGGTACTTTTGGTTAGCATCAAAGGTATCTCAAGCTAGGTTAGAGGTGGTGGGTAGTGAAGGATAGAAATGTCCAGGAGTTGTTGTTTGTGGCTAGATTGCTTAGTCTAGGACCCGGATAGAGGGTTTAATAATTTTCTTTTCTCAGAATTGGTTTCAGATTGAAGTCAGCTGACATCTTAGATGGGTCCCAGTAGGAAATGCATCTATGGGAGCTGGGACAATAAAATTAGGGGAAATGGGATTGGACCTGACATTGAGTAGAGTGAGAGAAAATCATGGCCTCAGGTCCTGGTTCTGCAGCTAATAAGCCTTTTAAATTTGAGTAGGTAAATTCTAGCTCTTTGAGCTGAAGTTTCCTCATCTATAATCTGGAAATAATAACCCCTGCCCTGTATGCCTTAGAATGATACTTGACAGTCAAAATGAGATAACAGATTTTATGGTCCATTTTATAACTATAATTTGAAATATATTTGGAAGGGATTATCTTATTATTGTAAAGAAAAGTTTTCTATCTTTTTCACTTTCTTTTTTTCTCTCTCCGTCTTCTATTGCCTTCCTCTCCTTTCATGTCTATCTTCATTCTCATTGACTCTCCTTCCCTTTTTCCAGGGCCAGTGATCCGGGCGGAGGTGGGTGACACTATCCAGGTGGTCTTCTACAACCGTGCCTCCCAGCCATTCAGCATGCAGCCCCACGGGGTCTTTTATAAGAAAGATTATGAGGGCACTGTGTACAATGATGGTGAGCCAGCAGGGTTCCTAACAAATGTGGGTTCCAGGTGGTAGCAGGTGTCTATAGAGGACAAATAAATGAGGGGTGGGGAGGGAGAAGGAGGTAGAATTAGTTGCCACATGTAGACATTGTTGAATGAATGAGTGAAATAATAGAAAAGCAGAGCTGGGCTCAATAATAAGAGATAATTTCTTTTAAATATATTCTAATTATAAATTACGTATATTATGGAATTTTGAAATACATAAAATTACAAAATAAATAAACATCATTCACGGATAAATTTCCATGTACATTTTGATATACCTATTCATGTTTTTCCGTGCTTATAAAGTATAGATAGGTATGAGATCATATGGTTTGTACAGTTTTGCATCCTACTATTCTTATCATTCTATTGTGTTTGTTTTCCCATGCCATTATAATCTTATAAACATTTTAATGACTGTATAATACTCTATCACATGGATTTGCCATAGTTTATTTACCATTATCCTCTATTATTTGGACATATGAGTTTTTTCAGTATTTTTGAATATTGTAAATCAGGTTGCAATGAATGAATGCATGCATCCTAGTTCACATTTCAGATTATTATCTCAGGAAAGAATCCTAGTAGTGGAATTATTGAGTAATTCATTTCTTGTTTTCTCTGAGACTATTAACACATGTTAATTCTAAGCCAAAAATATATAAAAAATACTGAAAGCATAAAGGGCAAAGTTGCAGATAAATCCAAAATAAAAGAACATTCTACAAGGCAACTGGTCTAGTCTCTTCAAGAAATCAGGGTGGAGGGGATTAGAGACATAACAACCAAATGCAATCTACAAATCTTAACTGATTCTGGTGATAAAAATAGCTTTATGAGACATTTTGAAGATAATTGGAAAATGTTTTATTTATTTATTTATTTTTTTGAGACAGAGTCTCACTTTGTTGCCAGGCTAGAATGAATGCCATGGCGTCAGCATAGCTCACAGCAACCTCAAACTCCTGGGCTCAAGTGATCCTCCTGCCCCAGCTTCCCGAGTAGCTGGGACTACAGGCATGCACCACCATGCCTGGCTAATTTTTTCTATGTATATTAGTTGGCCAATTAATTTCTTTTTTATTTATAGTAGAGACAAGGTCTCGCTCTTGCTCAGGCTGGTTTCGAACTCCTGACCTTGAGCGATCCGCCCACCTCGGCCTCCCAGAGTGCTAGGATTACAGGCGTGAGTCACCACGCCCGGCCGGAAAATGTTTTATATAGACTGGATATTAGATAATGATGGGGAATTTTCTTAGTCATAATGGTATTTATATTAACATAGGAGATGCTTGCTGATGTATTTAGCAGTAAAATGTCATGATGTTTGCATTTTACTTCCAAATGATTCAACAAAAGCATACAAACAAAAATGGGGGTGTTTGTATAAATATACATACACAGATGTAGATAAATTAAAGATGGAAAAGTGTTAACAATAGACTCTGGATGGTAGGATGATCATTGTACTATTCTTTAGAGTTTTCTGAATGTTTTAAACTTTAAGGAGTTAGGAATAGTTAATGAATAGAAAAGACAGGTTAAAACCATCCCAAATTATACCCCCCCATTGTTTTAAGCTATATTACAAAATATATCCTTGTATATGCTTCTTTGCACACTTTTATGATTATTTCTTCGGAATATATTTTTAAGGTATGGAATTGGCTGAGCACAGTGGCTCATACCTGTAATCCCAGAACCTTAGGAGGCTGAGGCAGGAGAATCACCTGAGCCCAGGAGTTTGAGGTTACAGTGAGTTGTGATTACGCCACTGTACTCCAGCCTGGGCAATGGTGCAAGACCCCATCTCTATTAAAAAAAAAAAAAAAAGATAAGGTATTGTTGTGTCAGAGGGTACACATATTAAAATTTTTGGTACCTACATTCAAATTGCTCTCAGGAGAGATTTGCAGTGTTATCAATTTGGATTTGAATCATTGAGGATGCCTTTTCTCACCTCACCAGCACTGGGGCAGTCTTTTTGATCTTGTCAAAATGATAGTTTTGTAGGGAAAGAATAACATCAATAAAACTCACTGTTGTTTTGATTTCCATTTGTTTGATTACTTTAGGTTGAACATTCTTTTCAATATTTAGTGCATATCTTTATTTGTGGACATGAACTTTTTATTTATTTATTTATTTCAGCATATTGTGGGGGTACAAATTTTAAGGTTTCGAATAATGCCCTTGCCCCCTCTCCCCCACAAGTCTGATCATCAAGCGTGATCATCCCCCAGATGGTACACATCTCACTCATTATGTAGCGGACTTGAACTTTTAAAATAAACAGCTTTTGATAAATTTTGTCAACATTATTTCCAAAATGGTTATTCTCATTTATACTCACCATTTTTATGGGTGAATGAGAGGGGTAGATGCCATCTGAACCACTCTTTGCCATCAATGATTATTATAAATTATAAAATCTTGGCTAATTTAATAGATAAAAGTTATCTAGATATTTTTATTTATATTTCTTTGTTTACTGATATCTCAAAAATTTAAAAGTATATTCCTGTGTATTGCTTTACCATGTCCTGCATCCATTTTAGAAATTATAGCATTAGTGTTTTTTCTTTTTTTTTTTTTTTTTTTTTTGAGACAGAGTCTCGCTTTGTTGCCCAGGCTAGAGTGAGTGCCGTGGCGTCAGCCTAGCTCACAGCAACCTCAAACTCCTGGGCTCAAGTGATCCTTCTGCCTCAGCCTCCCGGGTAGCTGGACTACAGGCATGCGCCACCATGCCGGCTAATTTTTTTTATATATATATCAGTTGGCCAATTAATTTCTTTCTATTTATAGTAGAGACGGGGTCTCGCTCTTGCTCAGGCTGGTTTTGAACTCCTGACCTTGAGCAATCCGCCCGCCTCGACCTCCCAAGAGCTAGGATTACAGGCGTGAGCCACAGCGCCCGGCCAGCATTAGTGTTTTTTCATATATATACACACATACATATATAACCTATATGCACCCATACATACATGCATACATATAGAAAGGAAAAAGTACTCAACAATCAGACCTACTGAAAGGTGAAGTAGATTATAATGGCAGGTAGCAAATCTACCATCTCTGGAGAGTTTTAAGCAGAGGTAGGGAAATAAGAGCAGATCAATGTATTTTTTAAGTGAGGGGCATTCCAAATATATCTTAACATTCCTTTTAGTCCTGTGATCTATGGTTTTGGAAAATTGAAACAGGGAAGTTTAAATTGCCTTAGTTTATATAGCAAGCAATGGAAGAAGGATGAACTATAAACCACACTCTGGTCTCTTGTCTCCTAGACCAGTGTTCTCTACAATATTCAACATTCCACGTTGCTGCTGGTGCTCCAAAATGTCTTTGTAGTTTATGATCTTTATTCCACTGTTTGGAGATTATAGTTCTCACTCTCGTTAATGTAAGTAATGAATTTCATGTTTTCCCTGCAGGATCATCCCACCCTGGCTTGGTGGCCAAGCCCTTTGAGAAAGTAACATACCGCTGGACAGTGCCCCCTCATGCTGGTCCCACTGCTCAGGATCCTGCTTGTCTCACCTGGATGTACTTTTCTGCCATGGATCCCATCAGAGATACAAATTCTGGCCTGGTGGGCCCCCTGCTGGTGTGCAAGGCTGGTGCTTTGGGTGCAGATGGCAAGCAGGTAGTGCCAGGATGTCTAGCTGGGAAGCCTACTGGGAGGAGGATGAAGCTGTGTTGCTGGGTAGGAGTTAAGCAAGGAACTGGGTGAGGGAATAGAAGAAAAAATAATCAAGCTGCTGTATCAGAAATTAGTAATTGGTGACCATACACATCTTTCTTAACCTCTATTTCTATTTCATATCCACCCGTCATTATCATCATCTTCCTTCCTTCTCTCCTTCTTCTTTTTTTCTTTCTGTTCTTTCTTTCTTTTCTTTTCTTCTCACCTCTATGGCCCCTAACCCTTATATTTGCTGTCTACTTTTGTACTCAGTCCATCATTGCTAGCTGTAAAACCTTGGACAAGGCTACTTAATCTCTTTTTGACTCCGTTTTTCTCATCTGTGAAAAAGGGATTTACAATCTAAGAAGGTACCTTGGGTTTCTGTGAGAATTAATTTAAATAATCCATATAAAGTGCTTAGCACAGTGTTTGGCACATAGTAAGCACTCAGTAAAGGTTAACTATAATAATTATTAGTATTATTACTTTTCTTTTCTAATTTCCCTCTAGAGCCCTCCCCCACTCTCCTGGCCACCTTCCTCTACTTTTCTCCCCGACTGACTCCAGGCACTCTCCTATCAAATTCTGTACCTCTTACAGTCCTCATTCTGTGCTTTTTCCATACCCCCTTTCATAAATTCCTCCCCTCCAGTCTTGTCATTTTATTCTGAACTCTTTTTTCCATCTGTAATTTGTGGTTACCTGAGGAAAAACTGCCTAGAGACAATGGAAAGTTTGGGCAGGAGGTATGGGCTTGGCTCTGAGTCTGGAAAACGAAATGGGAAAGAACCAGGAATCCTTGGATCTACAGCTACACAGTCTGCAGCTATTGAAACCATTGTTATTCCTTCTCCTACTTTCCTCCACTGGGCCTGCAGAAAGGAGTGGATAAAGAATTTTTTCTCCTGTTCACTGTGTTGGATGAGAACAAAAGCTGGTACAGCAATGCCAATCAAGCGGCAGCTATGTTGGATTCCCGACTGCTCTCAGAGGATGTCAAGGGCTTCCAAGACTCCAATCGGATGCATGGTATGGGGAGTGCTTTTTCCCTGGGCTACAACTGAGATGTCCCAAGTAAAATCTAGCCCTAGCCATAATCATGACCAATCCTGAAAACACTGATTTCATTGACCACCTCTGTCCAAGATACAAGCTAGATTGAGGGATTCAACCTAAGACAATAGATCTTATACTTAGTACCTTCTTTTGCTGTGTCCTGTGTTACATACTACAGGGGGCACTGGATGAAAGTACTTTGAGAGGAGAACTGTGTACAAGTAGATTTACTAGAGAGTGTGAAGAATAGCTGAGTGATACTTTTCTACACTTATTTCCCTCTCCCCTTGCTCCTATCACCCTTTATCCCCAACCTCAAACTCCAGCCAAGTGGTGCTATTTTTTTGTCCATGAAGATACATTATACTTTGCTGATTTCACATTTTGCAGTGCTATGCCCTTCACTTGAAATGTCACTCGTTACATCTTTGTCTTCAGCCTGTGGGAAATTCTGCCCTTTCTCTAAGGTCCTACTCAGAAGCTACCTCCTTCATGTGATAATTTCTTTATCATCCATACCCAGGGTGATAATACCCTCTTCTGAACTACCATTGTATTTTGATCAGACCATTTTAATAGAAAGATCCATATACTGCTCAATAGACTTCTGCTACAGTGTAGTCTCTTTAAAGATGAGTATTGTATGTTGCTTGCTCTGTATCCTCCACACTGTTTAATACATAATGTTTATTAAATTAGTGAACTACCAGATGAATTGATGGATGTGTGGTAAGTGAATGACGGAGAAGACATGGTCCTCATTTGCAAGGAGCTCCCAGCAATTTGCAATGAGATGAGACTAATAGCACCCATGATAATAATTATAGAATAATTTAAGATAGACTTTAATTAAGTACCGAATTATGTGGAGCAGCTTTTAAGAGACATAAGAGTTCAGAAGAGGAGAAAATTGCTGAGGAGCAATCAAATTAAAAGATTCTTGGAAGAAAGGAGTGCTTGAGGTAGGGCTTGAAGACTGAATAGGTTTGCAACCAATACATTATAGACAGGGGAAGCAAAACCAGGGCTTAGCAGTATTCCCATCAGCATTCCAGAGGCTTATCAAACTGGGTGACTCATTAAAGTTGATTCTAGTGGATGTGAGAGCATTAAAAAAGAGATCAGCATCAAACAGGTATCCCTGTATTTGGGGGAAGGGAGGAGAGAGTGTGGAACGTGGGAGGAGGACAAGAATGAGTGTGTTCTATTTTGGCTCCATCTCTTCGTTCCCATCACCACTTAGTTCCATTATTTGGAAAAAAGTAAGACAGTCTTGTGAACCAGGTTCACTTAAGTTTGAATTTACTGAGCATCTAATTGATATCAGGTAATGTGTCAGGTGTTCAGGCAGTCATATGGATACAGAAAAATATGATATGCTTCCTGCTAGGTCAATCTAGTGCAGGAAATAAGATTTCTAAGTAAATCATTAGACTCTGTGGTAAGTGATATTATAGAATTTCTAGGGTAAAATTCATGGAAATCAAAGACAGGCTTCACAGAAAAGATGATAATTGAGCTGGGACATGATGGATGAGTGGTAGGTTGCCATAGAGAGAGACTAGAAGGGAAATTTATTCCAGGAAGAGCAAATAGTATGTGAAAAGTCAATGGATGTTTTCTAAGCATATACTGTGTTTAAAGCCTTGGGGATGCAGAGATAGAACTCATAGGATAATGGTGTGTGTGTGAGAGTAGGTGGGAGGACAGACTGCAGGTAGGGGTACCAGGGAAGAGGCTATTGCAGTTCAGGCAAGAACCAGGTCAGTATCAGTGAAGATGAAGAGGAGGAGACAGACTAAGAGCTGAGGATGGAACTTTAGGGAACCCTAACACTTTATGGATAGGTGGAAAATGAGAACAAGATGAAGGAGCAATCAGAGAGGTTATAAGAGAACCAGAAAATGTAGTGCCACAGAAATCAAGGGAGAAGACTTTCAAGAGAGTGAGGATAGGAGACATTGGTATGTGAGTATATGTGTGTGGGGATTGGTGGGTAGGGAGGAGTTATGGTACTGGAGAGTAGTTCAGTGTTGTCAGGATATGGAGCATGGGAGAGGAGGGAGGAGTACCAGGTGAGGCCAGAAAGGCCAGTTGAGCCCTCATCCTAAAGACACAGATCTTCACAAGTAGAACTAAAGTGGCTTAAAGAAGAAGGCAGCAGAGTTGAGGATGACTGAACATGTTCAAATTGTGTACAACCATAGTACAGTGCTGATGCCATGCTGCTGGCTAGTAGTATGGTCTCATCTCCCCATCTTGTCTTGTGCTTTTGTTTTCCAGCCATTAATGGGTTTCTGTTCTCTAACCTGCCCAGGCTGGACATGTGCAAGGGTGACACGGTGGCCTGGCACCTGCTCAGCCTAGGTACAGAGACTGATGTACATGGGGTCATGTTCGAGGGCAACACCGTACAGCTTCAGGGCATGAGGAAGGGTGCAGCCATGCTCTTTCCTCACACCTTTGTCATGGCCATCATGCAGCCTGACAACCTTGGTAAGTACCTAAGCAGCTGGCCCTAGGCTCAGAGGCTTCCTTGGGTATGAGGCTGGGGATGGGGAAGAGGGAGGTCTGGGAAAGAGAAAAAAAGAGGGATGTTGAGAATGCTAGGGACATTTTCAAAATACTTTTGTCTTTTCCCTCTTCAATGTGCTCTCCATGTTCTGTTTATTTGGATTTTCTCCTTAGCTGAAAGCAGAATATAGTGCGTAGAAGACTGAGGAAGCTATTTTCCGGAACAACAGGAGAGAAGTAGGGATGCTGCTCAGCTTCAGGGCACTTCTTATGTGACAGAGGGTAGACTTGGCCACATAGCCCCTTGACCACATAGAGATTTTATATATACAGTCCTTATATTGGGGGGAGGTCGATGGGATGTACTTATGAGCACTCTCAACTCTGATATTCTGCAAAGATTTCTGCAAACTCTCTTCTGGTTGTGCGTGTGTGTGTTGCCATAACAGTTTCAGTCCAGGAATCAGAACACAGGATCCCTGGTCCAGGCTTTCATTAACTTGCTCTATAACATTGGTCTAGTGGGGTGGGGAACCTGCAGCCTTAAGGCGAAATGTGGCCTTTTAGGTCTTTAAGTGTGGCCTTTTGACTGAACCCAAATTTTGTAGAAAAAATTCTTTTATTAAAAGGGGTGCAGCAGAGAAAGATGAAGCTTTTATTCCCTCCTTTGGTGCTTATAAAAAAGAATCTTGAAATTAGAGGGCTGCAGGTTCTCCACCCCTGCAAGATATTTGACTAGACTACTTCTTCAGATGCCATCTATTTCTGGCATTTCATGAGTTATTTTTTCTTCGGTCCCTAAGGTGTATTCTTTTTCCAGCCAGTAGGTGGCAATAGTGTTTGTAAGAAAAATCTGTTGGTTCCATGCAGTTCCTACTAAGCTATTATCTTAGTTCGTAAATTCCATTCTCATTTGGGGAAAAAAATCCTTAAAACAAACCTTTTTGATAATTTAATAATTTCAGCCTGTCCCTGAGTTTGACAATCAGTGGACGTAAAGCTGGGGTCACCCTAGATGTCTTTAGGTCCTCATTTCTGCCCATCTATCCAGAATACTTTCTTGGACAGGGAGAGTTGTTAGCAAATTAAAAACATCAGTTAATGGAGCTGAAAGAAACAAAAGGAACAAGTTCTTGCTGTGTGATGTCGGAAACTTCTGAATAAGAAAGACCCTATTCTGTCGCCTTAGCCCCAAAGCAAAATCCCAGTTTTAAATTCCCTTCCTGCAAAACCAGCCAGACTCCCCAGCCAGGTCTATATGCCTCCCTAGGGCTCACTCTTACTTTGGATGAATTAAATTATTTTTGTGCCATACTAAGGCTCAAGGAGGGTGGCAGTGAATGACTTAAAAACATTCTGATGTGTAGTCTGGAAGGAGAGGAGGAGAATAGGTTTATAAAAGTAAAGGTTTCAAAGGTTACCCCCTTGGTCAAGATTCCAGAGTTTTCTTACTAGCAAAAGCACAAATCCTTCATTACCTTTGCATTTCCAGACCTTTAAAATTATTTCCTTTTTCTGAAGAGATCTGAGTCATAGAATATTGAAACTCATAGAGTTCTTTTGAGATAATCTCAATTCACTTGTTTTACTAATGGAGGGAAGGGACAGACCAGGAGGAGGGAAAATGTTTAGGTCAGTTAGAAATGTTGGCTCTATTTTTTTCACTTCTCCCTTTTGCCCCTTTTCTATCAAATTCTATTGATCCTTATTCCTAGCTAATCTCTTGAATCTGAGCTCTCCATTCTGTCCCTGGGGACTTGCTCTCTGATTAAGATTGAGAGAAACCAATGTGAGTACTTCTCCAAAGACAGAGCAAAGGTACCTGAGTTAATGGAAGAGTCAAGACCAGAATCTGGCTTTGGGATTCTGGAGAGAGGGATAGTGATGGGCAATAGTAAATATACATATGTGTTTGAGCAGCTCTGCAGATGGTTTGAAAACATCACCATGGAGATTTTTCAACGTGCTAGGTTTTGGATACTTATAATTATGTTTTAAAAAAATAGAAAAAAATGCCCAGAAAACATTTAGCAAAATGTTAAGAGTTTGAGTTGTGTAGGTCTCTTGGTAATGTTTTAATCCTCACCTCTTTTTTTCTTTGCTCTAAATTTTAATAATATTATATTTAACAGATAAATGGCATATTGTATTTTAAAATGTCACCCTGCATAATATGTCTCAGCTCTTCCAATAGAACTACTGGTACTAGGTCTTTACTAGCCAGGGGAAAGTGGTAAATAAAAAGGGTAAAGCTTGTAACATGTTACTTTACACCTAATTCATGTTAGATTTCTCAGCAGCAAAGACAATATATATTACTTCCCTGACCCCTGTTTAGGGTTTCTTTCCTCTCTTTTGCTCTTGGAGCTCTTTATTATTGCCCTCTTTTTCTCCTTTTCCCAACTTCTCTTTTCCTCCAACTCCTTTATCCTCCCTTCTTTTATTTTCTCCTTCTTCTTTCATTCTTTTTTCTTACCCTTTTTATACCATTCATCTTTCTTCTTCCTCCTCTTCGTTCCCTCCTTCATTCATTCTTTTTCTTCCATCTGCTTGTCTCCCATATTGCTCTTCATCTTTCTTTTCTTGTCATTTCTTCCTTCAGTTCTTTCTCTCTCTTATCTTCCATTTCTTATTTTACCTTATTTATTTTTCTTCCCTTGTCTCTTTTCTCCTTTCCCTATTTTCTTTCTTTTTTGATTCTTTCCCTCCTTTTTGCTTCCCTTCTCTCCATCCTCCTCCCTCCATTCTTCCTGTTTATTTTCTTTATTTTATTTTATTCATTTTATTTTTAATCTTTATTTCTTTTGCCTTTACCTTTCTCTTATTTTATTTTCTTCTTTTTTCTTTTCCTTAGTTCTATATTTTTACTTTCCTCTCTCCTTGTATTCCTCTATTTTTCTTCTTTTTTCTTCCTCATTTTTTAAATTTTCTTTTTATATTGCATTTTCTCAAAACATAGTAGAGACCTGTTCTCTTTCACTTGTTGGTTTAGGTGCTAGAGAATGTAAGGGTCAATAAGGCAGAGACGGTTAATGTGAAAGGGAGATAGGTCTGTGAACTTTAGTTGTCATAATGACTGGGGGTGTGGAGAGTATCATACTAACATTAGAGGGTAGGAATCAAAGATGCTAAAAATTTTCTGCAATATGTAGGACAGTCCTATGTAATGAAGGATAATCCCACTCAAATTGCCAATTGTGTTCCTGTTAAGGAATACCAAGATGTAGTGTTTAAGGGACATAGGAAATGACTAATGAGCCAGTTAGGAAAAGAGGAAAGCCCTTGCTGAGGAGTTAGGACTTTATTTTCTGGGTCATAAGAAGCCATAAAAGATTTTATTTCTTTTATTAAGATGATGAGTGACAGGATATGATTTTCATTTTTGTAAGTTTACTACAGGACAGTATGGATAATGGCCCTGAGTTCAAAGGAACCAGAACCAGGAAGGCACAGCTGAAACCCCTTGAAAGAGATGATAAAAGCCTGCCAATGAGTGCAGGCAGTGGGAATAGAGAGAAGGACAGGGTTAAAAGATATTTGGGAGAGAAGTGATAGGATGTTGCTGAGGGGCTGAGCAAAAAGAAAAGATGCCTGAGGTTTCCAGCTTGTATGCTAGGTGGGTGGTGGTGCCATCAACCAAATAAGCAAATACAGAAGCAGGGGTAGGATGGTAAGGTTTGGGTAAAAAGTATTCATTTGGGGGCATTTTAAGTTCCTGGTGAAATCCAGCTGGTGGGGAGTTCATGGTAGGTAGTTGTGGGTAGAAATTTAAAGCTTGGAGGAGAATGTCTTCTACTTATTCCCATCCCCTCAAGTGATCATCAGACTTTCTTCACACCAGACCCTGAGCCATGACTTTTGGACAGTGTATACAATCATCCCTTTGAATGCACATTAATTCACTCAACACATATTTATTGCTCATCTTTTAGGTACAAAGACAGGCACCGAGGTAAACAAGACAGACATGATCTTTGCTCTCTGTATATCCTCAACAAACACATAAATAAGATAATTTCAGATAGTGATACATGTCATGAATGAAGTAAAATACAGAAATGTGATAATATAATGGAGGCATTACTTTAGACAAGTTTTTCCAAGAAGGTCTCTCTAAGAATGTGACATTTAAACTGAGATTTAAATAATAATAATGAGTGTGGTGCGCACCGTCTGGGGGATGGACACACTTGAAGCTCTGACTCTGGTGTGTCAAGGGCAATATACGTAACCTAAACATTTGTGCCCCCATAATATGCTGAAATAAAGAAAAAAAAAGAAAGAAAGCCTGTATGGTTGGAGTGTTATGAGGTAGGGGAAGACTGACATGACATGAGGTCATAGAGGTTAGTAAGGGTCATATTATGTAGGGCCTTATAGCCCATAATCAGGAGTTTGAATTTTATTTTGGGTGTGGATGGAGCACTTAAAGCAAGGGAGCAATGTGCTCTGGATTATATCTGTTAAAGAACATCTTGTATCCTGTGTAGATAATAATTGAAGAAGCAGAAAGGACAATTGGGGGTCTATTGCAATTTTCCAGGTAAGAGATACTGGTGGCTTGAACTAGAGAAGTGGCAGTGGAAATGAAATAATTTTGAAGGAATTGCTGATAGGATTTACTCATGGAATAGATGTGGTGATGTAAGGGAAATAGAAGAGTTAGGAAGTAGATATGGAAAGGAGTTGTCCTCTTCTTTCAAGGTGCCCATAAACTAGTAGAAGGGACCATTTTAGAAGAGAGGAACACTTAGTCCTTAACCATGTGATATGATTCGGTAAAGTGCATTAGCAGTGGAGAGGCTAAGAATATAGAGGTTGATTTGGGCCAGAATAGTCAGGGAGGGCTTTCTGGAAGAGAAGAAGCATGAATTAGGTCTTGGATAATGAGTGAGCTCATATATATATATATATATAGTGGATGGGTACCTTCCAGATAGAGGGTAACAACATGAGTAAAAATGCCAAGATAGACGCAAAATGTTTGAGAGAAGTAGTTAGAAGTAGATTTAGTTGGAACACTAGTTGAGTTTGAGACGATATGTGGGAAGTGGGACTGGGTTTGGGACAAGCTGGTAGAAGGCTTTGAAAGCCAGGAAAAATAATTGTAGTGCTGGATAGACAGTAGGCAGCAAAGATAAGGGAATAATGAGAGTAGTGTTCTAAGAAAGTTAGCTTCTCTTGATCAACATTCTTTGAGTCTGAATGTCCTTGGCATAGACACCTGGAGCTTGAGACCTAGTCCAGGCATCTCCACAGTACAGATATTCAAGACTGATATCTGAACATTGTAATGTAAAGAAATGAGCAAAGTCACTTCTAAAGCTCTCTTATGTAAGCATCCTTGTGATCAAGAAGTAGTACACTAGTTTTTCATTACATGGATGAATTGCATAGTGGAGAAGGCAAGACTTTTAATATACCTGTCACCTGAATCCTCTCCTTTCCTCCCTCTTCTGAATCTCCAATGTCTATTAAGCCGCTCTGTGTGACAATACATACTCACTGTTTAGCTCCCACTTAAAAGTGAGAACATACAGTATTTGGTGTTTTGTTCCTGGATTGCTTCACTTATAATAATAGCCTCCAGTTCCATTCAAGTTGCTGCAGAAGACATTATTTCATTCTTTTTAATTAATGAATAGTATTCCATGGTGTGTGTATGTGTGTGTGTGTGTGTGTGTATCATGTTTTCTTTATTGGTTCTGTATCTTTGCAATTGTGAATTGTGCCACAATAAACATATGGGTGAAGATGTCTTTTTTTAAAAAAATAAAATGACTTCTTTACCTTTAGGTAGATCCCCAGAAGTGGGATTGCTATATTGAATGATAGATCTACTTTTATTTCTTTGAGAAATCTTCATACTGTTGTCCATAGAGGTTGTACTAATTTACATTCCCACCAAAGTATATATGTGTTCTCTTTTCACCACATACATGCCAACATCTATTGCTTTTTGACTTTTTAATAATGGCCATTCTGACAGGGGGAGGATGGTATTTCATTGTGGTTTTATTAATAATTTATATTTTCATAGGTATGTTGACCATTTGTATATCTTCTCTTAAAAAATGTTTGAGTCTTTTGCCTGCTTTTTAATGGGGTTATTTGTTTTTTTCTTGCTGATTTGAATTCCTTGTAAATTCTGGATATTAATCCTTTGTCACATGTATAGTTTGTGAATATTTTTTCCTATTCTGAAGGTTGTTTATGTACACTGTTGATTATTTCTTTTGGTGTGCAGAAACATTTTAGTTTAAGTCTCATTTATATATTTTTATTTTTGTTCTGTTGTATTTGCTTTTGGGGTCTTTGTCATAAATTGTTTGCCTAGGCCAATGTCCAGAAGAGTTTGTCCTGTTTTCTTCCACAATTTTTATGTTGTCGGGCCTTACATTGAGAAGTTCTTCTGTCTTTTTAAAAACTAACTATTTAATCCCACTTTTATTTATTTGGTACTTGGTAATAAAGGGACACAACTGGTCACTGCCTTTTTTGGAATAATTATTATAGCTTTATTATTTATAGCTTCACTTATTGAACATTTACTATGTACTGTGCTAAGCACTGTACATATATCATTGTGATTAATTCTAAAAACAACCAAATGAAGTGAGTAAAATGATCCTTGTTTTACTGATGAGGGAATTGAAACATATACAGGTTTAGAAATTGCCATGAGGTTTTTTTTATATATATATACTATATATATATATATATACTACTATATTATCTCAGCGAAGATAAGTGACAGAGTTACCAACCATCCCACTTTGCCCAGTACTGAGGAATTTCTAGGGATATAGTACTTACAGTACTAAAATTAGAAATGCCCTGGGCAAACAGGAAGGTATTGATCATTCCAGTGGCAGAGTTTAATTTTTAGTTTTTATTGATGCATAGTAAACACACATAGTTTCAGGGTACATGATAATTTAATACATTCATATAATTTGTAAATCAAATTAGTGTACTTGGGATATCCATTACCTTAAGTATCTGTCTTTTCTTTAGGTTAGAACCATTTGAATTCTCCTCTTCTAGCTATTTTGAAATATACAGTAGATTATTGTAAACAATGTATCTTTGGAGCTGGAGCTCTTAACATCTGTGTTCATTAGTCTTAATAAACTTGTTATACTCTTTTTATCTAGTGCATAGAAGAGCCTTATCTGAGACTACCCATTCTCTGCAGTATGCCTGGGGAGAGGCAGGAAATCCCCCAGGCACTGCTCAGGGGTGTTCTGACACAGGTTTTGCTCTCTGATCCTCCCTCAGGGACATTTGAGATTTACTGTCAGGCAGGCAGCCATCGAGAAGCAGGGATGAGGGCAATTTATAATGTCTCCCAGTGTCCTGGCCGCAAAGCCACCCCTCGCCAACGCTACCAAGCTGCAAGAATCTACTACATCATGGCAGAAGAGGTGGAGTGGGACTATTGCCCTGACAGGAGCTGGGAACTAGAATGGCACAACCAGTCTGAGAAGGACAGGTAAGTCTTTAGAAAAGGAGAGATCCTACTTTCAGAGAATCACTTTACAGATGAGGATACTAAAACTGAAACGAGGAAGCACTTATCTAAGGTCGCCTATTATGATACCAACAGATCTGGGAGTAGGGACTAGAATGCAGGTCTTCTGAATTACAGCGCGGTGCTTCTATATTGGTATAATGTGGGGCTAAAGTAAAAGACCTTGCTCACACCTTCATCCTCTTAATATTTGCCTCTATTCCTTGAGTTAGCTGGAAGTACCTACCCTGGGACTTAAATTTCATATAGAATTTACTCAAGGGACTGAATGCCCCAAACTCACCTGTCCCTTGACAAAATGGCATTGCATTCATTAAGCACACTAGATATTAAGCAGAAAAACTCCAAAATGGCATAGTTTAAATAAGATAGAATTGTATTTCTTATTCATGTAATAGTACAGATATGAGCAGTCCAGGGCTGGTAGGTGAACTGTGTCATCCTCAACACTTATATTTGTCTCTGGAACCAAGATGCCTATTCTTCTTGTAGCCACTCCAAGCTATCAAGAAGGGAGAAAGAAGTCCCATGCTTAGCTGTAAACAAATCTGGGAAACATAATCTTTGGTTAGGTAGCCATGTGCTCAGCTAAAACTTAGGTGATTCTATTACTAAAGAGGAAGGAGGAGAAAATGGAAACTGAGGTTCAGATTAGCAGTTTCCACTAGTTTGTTTTCAGTGCTCTTACTGTCCTTTGCCAATTCTTGCCCTTTATATTGATTGTTGAAGGTTGAAGTCATCTTGCTAACTTGCTCTGGAAATTAGGGAAAATGACTTCCCCTCTCTGAGCCTGGGTTTAGTCATCTTTAACGTGATGTAGTATAGTTGAAAGAACAGGAATAGAGAGGAGGGAAGGAAGGAGCAGCAGACTTGAATCTAAGTCCTGGCTCCCTTTCTGGCTGATGGTGTCACTGTCAATAATTCTTGACATCTCTGGACCACTGAGTACACCTCTGGGACCTACCTACCCGATGGATCAATTAGGAATGTCAAATGATAAAATAAATGATAAAGCTGCTTGTAAACTGGAAAGCATCCCATAAGGAGAAATCTGTAACATTTCATTTCCTCCCTATTCTTTATCACTCACTATTCTTTATCCTCCAGGAGCAGCAGAAGTTAATACTTTTCTGTCACCTTGTACCTTGTCCTTTTATCAAACTAATTCCATCTGAGATATCATTAAGGCTGGAGCTGGAGCCCAGGGCTTCTGATTCTTAGCCCAGTGATCTTGCCATATTAATTGTACAACAAATTCCTAACTGGATGATGGCAAACAAGAAACACAAATAGATACTGAACCCTGTGATCTTTAATTATAGTTATGCAGCCAATGTATGAGCAATCCGACATTAGAAAGAATAGGTCCCCTTCTTTTATCTGTGACAGGAAGGTGGTTCTGACTTAGCTTCCTCATATATGAAAATGAGGGGATGAGGGTTGGGTACTGATACTACTCTTTGAATTTCTCTAGTTATGGTCACATTTTCCTGAGCAACAAGGACGGGCTCCTGGGTTCCAGATACAAGAAAGCTGTATTCAGGGAATACACTGATGGTACATTCAGGATCCCTCAGCCAAGGACTGGACCAGAGGAACACTTGGGAATCTTGGGTAAGGGAATTCCACTTCCCTCCTATTGTCTAGCAGCCTGAGCTGTTCCTAAGGCAGCTATGTCATATTAGGAAGGCCTCCCATCCCCCATTATCAATCTTATGATGTACTGGAATTATGGTCATATTTTATAAAACAGTCATGAAAATAAGCACTGAAAGGGGAAGAAGTGAATCATGAATTCTGCTGCAACTTAAACCAGGTTTTTCTAGGCTTTTTTTAAACCTTTGAAGTATGGAGGGCTCTGAGCATGATAGATTTTAATAGATACTAGAGGCAGGAGAACTTAGGAGCAGGCAAAAGTAGAAAAAAAAATGACACAGGGAACTAGTTTTACCCGTGAACTCCAGTTTAATTATTGCTGGAGATTGTTTTTCCTGAGGTATATCATTCAGACATTGCTGTAGATTTTCTTTTTTACCATTGTAGGGATCAATAGGTTTCTTCATTCTTATCCTGGCACAGAAGGGCCCGACTGGCCCCTGAAGAGATCCCAGCTATTTTGTATTCTGTGTCAAACTCTCCTTATCATCAATGATTCCACAGAGCCCTGATTCTCTATGGTCTTGGGCTATTATACATAGAGGGTTGGGGTGGGAAAAGTGGGGGTAATTGAAGGCATAGTCCTGTTATTGACGTACTTTCATCCTGTGGGTAGCAGTGTCAGTTTAAGGGCTTCTGAATCTAAAAATGGAGCCAGCCATGACTTTTGGTCTTCATAGGATCCTTTCTCAGGGCAAACTCCTAATACTATGGGGCTGCCATGTATGCCCCTTTGTTTAATGCCTCCTGTTCCACTCCTCCGCTAATGAGACTTTTACTCCTTTTGCTTATATTAGGTCCACTTATCAGAGGAGAAGTTGGTGATATCCTGACTGTGGTGTTCAAGAATAATGCCAGCCGTCCCTACTCTGTACATGCCCACGGTGTGCTAGAATCTAGTACTGGCTGGCCATTGTCTGCTGAGCCTGGTGAGTGGGGACACTTAGTAAAAGGATGAAGGATATGCAATACCTCTGCTTCACTCTTCTGATTTGCTCCTTAAAAAAGTATATTCTTAGACCCTGAAACAGGAACATTAGCAAAACTAAGCTATAGCCTGAGTTTGTGTCTATGAAATACTCATTCTCTCATTCCCAGAATAGGCTGTGGCTTAGTCTTGGCTAATATTCCTGTTTCAGATGTCTAAGAGCATACCCTTGGCTATAGTCTGAGTGCCTAATCTTGGCTAGAGAGTGATCTGGCCCAGACCCCAGACTGATCATGAACCCCTGCCATAGATAAAGTTCTTGTCTCCTTAGTACAAACTTAATTCTAACCCCACTCACATACTAAGCTCCTAATACTAAATGTAGAGTGGCCATATCTTGGCTACATTCTCTTCTTTTTTTTTTTTTTTTTTTTTTTGAGACAGAGTCTCGCTTTGTTGTCCAGGCTAGAGTGAGTGCCGTGGCGTCAGCCTAGCTCACAGCAACCTCAATCTCCTGGGCTTGAGCGATCCTTCTGCCTCAGCCTCCCGAGTAGCTGGGACTACAGCATGAGCCACCTAATTTTTTATATATATATCAGTTGGCCAATTAATTTCTTTCTATTTATAGTAGAGACGGGGTCTCGCTCTTACTCAGGCTGGTTTTGAACTCCTGACCTTAAGCAATCCGCCCGCCTCGGCCTCCCAAGAGCTAGGATTACAGGCGTGAGCCACCGCGCCCGGCCTACATTCTCTTCTATTAATTTATTCATTGAGTAAATACTTACTGGAGGCCTATTTCTAGATTAGGAGATATCTCAGCTGAGACCTAAATCAATTTAGTAAAGAAGTTTTCAAATGTTAGCTTGCATTGGGATCACCCAGAAGGTTTGCTAAAATACAGGTTGCTGGGATCAACTCCCAAAGTCTCTAATTCAGTAAGTCTATGATAGGCCTCAAGAATTTGCTAGTTCAAACAGGTAATTTGCTAGTTCAATCCAGGTGTTGCTCATGCTGTTATTTCAGGAACTACACTTTGAGAACAACTGACCTAAAGGATGAGAAGGAGGTGTGTGGATGAAGGGTAGTGTAGAAGAAATGCAGGTAAAAAGAAGTTCTAGAGGCAGGGAATGCAATGCATAAAGGCCCAGTGGTAAGAGAGATGAAAGTTGAAGTAGAGGAAAAGGGATGATTCTAAAAAGAACAGTGAGGTAACATAAATAGGATTTAGTGATTAATTGGATATTGAAGGTGAGAGAGATAAGGATTCTTGAATTACACCCATGTTTTTGTAGGAAAATTCTTTAATAATATCCAGATTTTGGGCTTGGACAAGCAGGTAAATAGTGATACTGTTCATCAAGATAGGGAACATGGGAGGAAGCTGACTTGAAATGGGGAGGGATTGGATGATGATAAGTTCACTTTTGAAGTTGTTGGATTTGGGATGTCTATAAGATGACCAAATACAGGTATCTATTAGATATAAATATCTGGAGTTCAGGAGAAAGGTATACTCTGAAGGAATGGATATAGGAAGCATTCACAGGTAGTAATTAAAAACATTGGAATGAACATATCCACCCCAGAAAAGTATATTAAATGAGACAGTAAGAGTCCTAAGATGAGACCCTGAATAAGACCATTTTTTTAGAATTTATAAATTATTTTATTTGATTTTTTAACTGACAAAAATTGTACATGGTGATGTTTTGATACATGGAATGTACAGTGACCAGATCAGGGTAATTAGTGTATCCATCATCTCAAACATTTGTTTTTTTGCGTTGGGAACATTCAGTATCTTCCTCCTAGCTATTTGAAACTATGTAATACATTATCAGTAACTGTAGTCATCCTACATGGTATAGGACTAGGGTCCCCAACACCCGGACCATGGACTGGTATTGGTCCATGGCCTGTTAGGAACCAGGCTGAACAGCAGGAGGTAAGCAGCAGGCAAGCAAGCAAAGATTCATCTGTATTTATAGCCACTCCTCATGGCTGGCATCACTGCATAAGTTCCACCACCTGTCAGATAAGCTGTGGCATTAGATTCTCATAGGAGTGCAAACCCTACTGTAAACTGAGTATATGAGGGATGTAGGCTGCATACTCCTTATGAGAATCTAATGCCTGATGATCTGAGGTGGAGCTGAGGCGGTGATGCTAGTGCTGAGAAGCAACTACAAATACAGATTATCATTAGCAGAGAGGATTTGACTATACAGTAAATGTAATGTGCTTGAATCATCCCCAAACTATTCCCCCTCCTCAGTCCATGGAAAAATTGTCTTCCATGAAACGGGTCTCTGATGCCAAAAAGGTTGGGGACCTCTGGTATAGAACACTAGAACTTATTCTTCCTATCTAGCTGTAATTTTATATTCTTTAACAAATCTTTCCCTGTCCCTCCCTTCCCCCTACCCTTCCCAGCCTCTAGTATCCTCTATTCTGCTTTTTACTTCTATGAGATCAAACTTCTTTTTAGCTTCTATATGTGAGTGAGAACATGCAGTGTTTAAGTTTTTGCTCCTGATTTATTGTACTTTTTATAATGCCCCCTAGTTCCATCCATGTTGCTGCGAATGACATGGATTTCATTCTTTTTATGGCTGAATAGTATTCCATGGTGTATATATAAAACATATTTTCTATTTTAACATTAAATGTTTATTTGAAATAAAATTATTTTGTACATAAAGTTCAATAATATAAAAGTTGTATTCTGAAAAAAAGGTAGTAGACTCATCCAGGAAAAGGGGAAAAGCTTGTGCAGACCCAGAAAGGCACATAATATTCAGGGAAAAATAATCAAGATACCAGGATTAAACACTAGGCAGAAAAAGTTCATAAACCACCTCTGGGTAGTTATATGACATCACTCCTTATTTTAGTGAGGGGGGCCATTAAAGTTTTTTTTTTAGGAGGTGACCTTCATTTTATTTTATTTGTTTTAATTTTTATTTCAGGATATTATGAGGGTACAAACATTTTGGTTATATTTTCTGTCTTTGCTTCACCCAAGCAAGGATTAGAGATATGCCCTTCCCCTCTACAATGCTCACTGTGTCAATTAGTTGTGAATTTACCCCCCTAACCCCTTAATCCCTGAGGAATATTACTACTGTGTGAGTACCATAGTGTTGATCAGTCAGTGCAAATTTGATGGCGAGTACATGTGGAGCCTTCTGATCTTCTGATCTTGTGATACCTCACTTCGAATAATGGGCTCAAGCTCTATCCAGGAAAATATAAGAGGTGCTAGGACGCTGTCATTTCTTATAATTGAGTAATATTCCATTGTATACATATACCAAATTTGAATAATCCACTCATGAATCAACGGGCACTTGGGTTGTTTCCACATATTTGCAATAGTGAATTGTGCTGCCATAAACATTTGAGTGCAGATGTCTTTATTGTAGAATGTCTTCTTTTTCCCTTTGGATAGATGCCTAGTAGTGGAATTGCTGGATCAAATGGTATTTCTATTTTTAGCTCTTTGAGGTATCTCCAAATTCTTTTCCACAGAAGTTGTACTAATTTGCAGTCCCACCAGCAGTGTAAGAGGTTCTAATCTCTCCACATCCTTGCCAGAATTTGTTGTTTTGGGACTTTTTGATAGAGGCCATTCTAACTGGAGTTAGGTGATATCTCATAGCAGTTTTGATTTGCATTTCTCTAATGATTAGAGATGTTGAGCACTTTTTTATATGTTTGCTAGCCATTAGTTTGTCTTCTTTGGAAAAGTATCTGTTCATGTCCTTTGCCCATTTATTGATAGAGTTGTTTGATTTTTTCCTGTTGATTTCCTTAAGTCCTATATAGATTCTTGTTATCAGCCCTTTATCGGATGTGCAGAAAACAAACATTTTCTCCCATTCTGTAGGTTGTCTATTCACTCTATTGATAGTTTCCTTGGCTATGCAGAAGCTTTTTAAGTTGATCAGGTCCCATTTGTGTATTTTTGTTGCTGCTATGATTGCTTTGGGGGTCTTCTTCATAAATTCTTTACCTAGGCTGATGTCTAAAAGAGTCTTTCCAACATTTTCTTCCAGAATTCTTAAGGTTTCACACCTTAAGTTTAAGTCTGTTATCCAATGTAAGTTGATTTTTGTGAGAAGTGAGAGGTGGGATCCAGTTTTAATCTTCTACATGTAATTATCCAGTTTTCCCAGGACTACTCATTGAATAGAGATTCTTTTCCCCAATGTATACTTTTGTCTGCTTTGTCAAAGATTAGATGACAATATGAGGATGGTTTTATATCTGAGATCTTCGTCCTATTCCAAAGGTCTGTACCTCTGTTCTTGTGCCAATGCCATGCTGTTTTGGTTACTATAGACTTGTAGTAAAGTTTGAAGTCTGGCAGACTGATGCTTACCAATTTGTTCTTTTTGCTTAAGATTGCTTTGGCTACATGGGGTCTTCTCTGGTTCCAGACTAGAGAAGCGTAGAATTATTTTTTTCTAAATCTGTAAAGAATGATGGTGAAATGTTGATAGGGATTGCATTAATTCTGTAGATCACTTTAGCTAGAATGGACATTTTAATAATACTGATTCTACCAAGGAAGAACAAATTAATTCTAAACCTAGCAGAAGAAAGGAAATAACTTAGATCAGAGCAGAATTAAATGAAATTGAGAACAAAAGAACAGAAGATGGATAAAACCAAAAGCTGTTTTTTTGAAAAGATAAACAAAATTGGTAGCCCTCTTTCTAGATTGACAAGAACTAGAAAGGAAAGGAATTTAATAAACTTAATCAGAAACGGAAAGGGAGAGATCACTACAGATATCATGGAAATACAAAACATTATCTTTGAATACTATAAAAATCTATATGCCCCAAACTACAAAATATGGAGGAAATGGACAAATTCTTGTAAACACACTATCTCCCTAAGCTCAATCAGGAGGAAATAAAATTCCTGAATAGACCAATATTAAGTACAGAAATTGGAGCAGCAAAAAAAAAAAAAAAGTTTCAAAAAAATAAA